TGGGAAGCCTGCTTCTTCCCTCTCCCATTCCCCCTGCTTGTATTCCCTCTCTTGCTGTGTCTCTTTCTGTCAAATAAATAAATAAAATCTTAAAATAAATAAATAAATAAATAAATAAAATGGATAAAAATTGATCAGGATAAAATAAGTATATTAAAACATCAATGATAAAACTAAATGGTGTGTCTACATGCTTGGTGTGGAATTCTTTTGACTTTGTTGCAGGGTTGAAAACTTTCACAATAAAATGTTAAAACTTGGAGAGAAAAAAGGATTCAAGAGAATGTGACAAACACTGAAGACAGGCAAAGAAGTCTAACATACAGATAATAAGAGTTCTTTTTTTTTAAAGATTTTATTTATTTGACAGAGAGAGACACAGCGAGAGAGGGAACACAAGCAGGGGGATCGGGAGAGGGAGAAGCAGGCCCCCCGCCAAGCAGGGAGCCCGATGCGGGGCTCAATCCCAGGACCCGGGGATCATGACCTGAGCCGAAGGCAGACGCTCAACGACTGAGCCACCCAGGCGCACCAATAAGAGTTCTTAAACACAAAAAAATAAAACAAAAAATCCCCAGAATACTAAAAAGTATAACTGAAGAAAACTTCCCTGAAATAAAAAAATATATTTGAAACTAACAAATTCAAAGAGTTTGTCACATACTTGAAAAAAATGGACCCGGAACAGTCAATACCAAGAGAGTAAAACTGCTGAATTTTATTTTTTTTTTTAAGATTTATTTATTGTTTATTTGACAGAGAGAGAGAGACAGAGAGAGAGACAGCGAGCATGAGCAGGGGGAGGGGGAGAAGGAGAAGCAGACACCCTGCTAAGCAGGGACCCCCCGATGTGGGACTGGATCCCAGGATCCTGGGATCATAACCTGAGCCGAAGGCAATTAACCGACTGAACTACCCAGGCACCCCTGGATCAGATATTTTTATAAATCTTTTTTTTTTTTTAGCTTTTATTTATTTATTTGACAGAGACAGAGACAGCGAGAGCAGGAACACAAGCAGGGGGAGTGGGAGAGGGAGAAGCAGGCTTCCTGCTGAGCAGGGAGGCCGTTGCGGGGCTCGATCCCAGGACCCTGGGGTCATGACCCAAGCCAAAGGCAGATGCCTAACGACTGAGCTACCCAGGCGCCCCTATTTTTATAAATCTTCTAAAACTCTTTGATTCCACGAATTCCTGCATCACTGCTATCGACTGCCCTGTCAGTCTCTCAGTTGGACCTGCTCAGTTAAACCCTGCTTGCCCTTGTAAGATGGTGTTTCTCTTATTCTGAGTTCCAGATAGACTTATTGTCTGTCCTCGTGGTATTTTCAGCTTCATATTCTTGTTTATTCCTTCAGGGTGAACCTCTGGACTCCCCATTAGACTGGGAACTATTTAGGGAAGAGATTTTGACTTACGTATCAGTGTCATTCCCATAAAACCAGAGCCTGCTCTCCCATCCTCAGCCAGCGCCTGACCTTCAGGCACTTAACTTCTCGCCCCCTAAACCTCCCTCTTCCTGAAAGTCCTAGGTACAGAGCCAGAAAATACTGGAAAAGTCAGCTTGGCATTTTACAGAGAAGACTTCTGTTGTGAGTCCCTGCCTCTGCTTCTTACTAGCTGTGTAACACTGGGCAAGTCACAATCTCTCTTAGTGTCTCCAAATCTCTATCTCTTCACTTCTGAAATAGTGATAACAATTAGTACCCATCCCCCTTGGACAGTCCATACAGAGTAAATCAAATACTGCAAATTGTGTCAGGTAATGGTATTGGGGGGGATATTCAAATACTTAACCTGCACCAATCACTCTGTATGGAGACTGGCCAGAAATATCTGATTTAGCCATACGAGGAATACCCGCTGAACGTCAGCCTGGGGCATTATTCTAACTGTAGCCATTCTGGATCCCTCCCCAATGCCAACTTCTCCAGAAGGTTGGCTTTTCTTTTCTTTCTTTTTTTATTGAAGTATAAATAACATACAACACTGTTACTAGTTTCGGGTATACAACCTAATTCCATACTTATATAGAGAGCTCTCTCAGAACTAGTCCTTTAGACTCCTAAACAAGATGATAAACACACAAGGCCCACTGACTTTCTCCACGGAAACGAATCCTAGGGAAGCCATGGAAGTGAGGAGGAATGAGACGGATGCCAGACCTGGACACTGGGGGCCGGGGGACAGCAAGCCCAGAGCAGAAGGGTGCCAGGATGTGAAGGTGGGTGACAGACTGGGGAGTGCTTTCTACTTGTGCTGTATGGGTCACTGCCTGCCAGGGGCCAGTGCCAGGCAAGCAGCCCCGTACCCACCAGAGGCAACAGGGTCACATCGAGGCAGTGCCTGAGCCCAGCTCAGGGTGAATACGCGCATGTGTATGAGAAGGGGACCGTGAGCTGGCTGGCACCTGAATGAACCTCCCTCCCGACCCTCTATCCGTCTGGTGAGTTTGGTAATTACAACTCAAGGAGACAGCTCTTGACAACGAATAGCACAAGGCATGGTGTGTGAACTGGAAGGGCACAGACTTGCTGCAAACAGGGAGTGACTGAGCCCATGTTGGAACCAGGGGCTCTCCACCTAGGGGTCATTTTTCTCTACTGTCCCACCCTCAGTCCCGACACTCAGTGGAAGGGCAGATGACAGGGTCGAGGGCTTTTGCATCTGCGTCCCAGAAGTACGTTACCAATTGGAGTGGCTGTCTCCAGGGGACATGGGCTTATAAGAAAATCTGAGGCAACTAAAGAAAGCAAGTACTATAAAAGATGTTTTCTCTGGTACAGGTTGTTTCTCTGTCATAAGTAATGGATCAGACAGAGAAAAGAATTTTAAAGTATAATAAATCACCTCAAAAAAGGGAGAATACTGGAGGGTGGGGGGATGCGTTAGCCCGGTGATGGGTATTAAGGACGGCACGTCTTGCATGGAGCACTGGGTGTTATATGCAAACAATGAATCATGGAACACTCCATCACAAACTAAAGATATAATCAATGGTGACTAACATAACATAATAAAAAGAAAGGGAGAATACTGGAAATATAAAACAGGAACAGCAGGTAAAGAATTGGAGATAAATGACATGAAAAGTACAATACTTAAAAAAACCCTCATATAATGAAAAGATAAATAATCCAACTAAAAATGAGCAATGACGGGCACCGGCTGGCTCAGTTGGTGGACAGTGCAGCTCTCGATCTCAAGGTCATGAATTCAAGCCCCATGTTGGGCATGTGCCTACTT